ATAATTGCGCATGTATTTGTGCAAATTGTTAGCTGAACCCAACCATGGTCTCAGCTGTTTAGCAGAGGCTAATCATTGATAGCTTCGACTTTTTCGGATCTACAGGGACGCCGTTGTTGCCCACAAAGCAGCCAAGAACGGGGATTCTAGATGCAGAGGAAATGATCTTCTTCATTTTATTCTCTGGCATAAGTTGAAGGACTTGACGAATATGATCAAGATGAACATCGACGTCAGACTTTTTCACCCGTTTTCTTACTATGAACGAAGATATTGTCAAAGTAACTCAGTGCAAATTATCTCAATGGACGGAAGAGATTCTTTAAGAAGAAATTTAAAGTCGCGGGAGCGTTTTTTAAAGCTTGTGGCATCACTAACCATTCTCCCAGTATACAACTGGGGGTGCTGACTGCAGTCAGTGGTGTATCATTTCCGTGCATTCGTATTTGCTAGAAAATATATTTGCAATCGATCACACTGAAAAAGAACTACCAACCATTCCATCTAAGATGTTAATCCTGCGTGGATTCGGATTCTGGACAGGTTTGGTCGCATTATTTGAATTGTTGAACGCGTGGACAATGCGCCTACCACCTGCGGATTCCTTCACACAGAAGGCTGGACTACAACGCGGAGACTTGCTCTCACGCACATGACCAACTATCTGTCGCTGCGCAAGGAGCCCGTCGATTGCAAGGAACTTGCTTTTTTGGTAACGACCACTGCCGTGTGATACAATACTTCGTACCAACAATTATGTTAAAAATCTCATGACGAATGCCTCTATCAGATGGCAATTTGTCTGTCACCTTGTCTGATAATTTAGTAGCATATTATATGACAAGTCCATACACCGGGTTTGTCCTCAGTGCGTCCCACGACTGCTCATTAATTAACCCTTTCCTTCTGTGTCGTTTCACCAAATACATACATCCGCAGTGTTGATGTCATCGTCGATAGCTTCTTCAACAATCGCACAAATTTGCGAAATTTTGCCAGGATATGTTTCAGCGTCTGCTTGCTCATCGACGGCAAGGAAAACATTTTTGACTGAACTTGGAGGAGTTCCAACCTACACGTGACAGAGAACATCGACGTCACCTTCTTCGTGGTAGGCCACAACGTTTATAAACTCGCTCAAAGTGTCTTGTTCTTGATCACTTCCTTCAGAGCCGTGTCATTCTCCTCTCGGGATGTTTTTTTTGCCTCTGATCTCACTATTCTTTATGCTACCATTGACCATGACTTTCATGTCGGTGGAAATGGAGACAGCCTTTTTCTGGCGCTGACTACTCCACCACCAGTTGGTGTTGTTACTTTCGTCGTCATGGGGTTGTCCTGTGAAAATGGCGGGCCATCGCACACCACAATATTACTTAAGACATCTGTGACTTCTTCAGCAAACCCCTGCTCTCCCTACCATTTCAATTGTCGATATGAAGCTCGAATTAGCGTTACACGACTCGTTGACGAAGATCTTCATATTCATCCAGTCAATGCTAGACTGATATCGTTTCAACCATAGCACACCTAGGATGATTTCATACTATTCATTGAAGACAAGTAAAATAAACTCGTCTTTACCTCGAATATTTTCAAACTTCATTGCCAAGCCAATGACTTGCTTAGACATCTTCATTCGAGATCCATTCGCTAAACAAATGATAATATTTTTTTCGCATTGGGCAGGCTAACACCATGCCCACTCACAACTTGCGCTTGAACCAAGTTGTTCAACTCTCTATTGACAGTTAAAGCTCGTAGTGGTTCCTCAAAACCAACTACAAAGACTTCTTAGATTATCAAAGTCGCACTTTGTCTGGCACTACTATCACTCATATTAATATTTAAAGATGAATATGGAGTCCAAAAACTTATACTTGTTACAATATAAATAAGAATATATGGTGGAAACTGTGTGTGCATCATGCACGTTGGGACCAGAGCTCTGTGTATCCACAGCATCTACAGTATGCTTCTCGGGCCCAGATAGGAGCTTCGCCTCTACTGGTCGTTCACCGATCCTGTGGTGCAGTGGTTCGCCGCTCATTTCAGGACCGGGAGGTCCCGGGTTCGATCCCCGGGGCCGGGTAGAGTCGGGTTAGAGTGTAATGAAAAACCCTATCGCACGTGCTTGACATGACTTACACGGCCCCTATAAGGGGGTATCGTACTCCATCATCTCTACTGGTCGTTCTCGCTGTTTGATAATTCGGCGCATTCGAAACGACGACCTTACAAGCGTCCGCGGTTATTCGAACGAGGGGCTTCCCACAACGAAATCACTTTGAATCGTTGCAAGGACGGTCATTTCCAGGCGTGAAATATAGAGATGTCCATTGGCTCTGATCAATAACTTGTACCAGCGCTTGCCTTGGTACGAATCCATTAAAATTGGCTTGCTTGATGATATGCTTTTCTTGCATCGTACGGTTGATGGCATCGTCCAGCGTCTTGGAATACTCACTGAACAGTTGATTCTGGATCGGCCCATCGTTCAAACCCGCCATGGATGTTACAACTTGCGTTGAAACGTCAATTGGCTCGTCGGCAATGCTTCATACCACGCTGTGCATACGAATGGAGGTCATAACAGCCTTGACGAAGCTTCAAGAACTCGGCACTGGCCCGTGATTCACTCATCCTGAAGTGCTCGAAGCGGTCAGGCATTTTAGATCGGCTAAGCGCCTACCATACGCCCAACACTTCGCAAAAAACCGTAAGGTTCGACATCGCGAACGACGCTTGCCGCAAAAATATTGCAGTTATTGCTACATCCAACTCGACAGACCATCGTGAGAGGTTCGATGTCTCCACCACGGTGCAAAAACGCGTTCAGCTTCAGTGACATTACCCTGTACGAATAGAGGTTGCGACCTGCTCCTGAGATTCCATAATCTCATGAAACTGACGGCTGCGTTCTTCTCATCATCCGGAGAAAACAACTGCAGTAAACTGACCACGGCAGCTTCTCCGATGACTTCTCGCAATTGCTCGAGTGCCATCCACTCTTGCGAGGACAAATAAGGAAATATCTCTTCGTCGACACCTATGTTTGTGGATCGAGTGGTATCCTAACTCCCTCGATGTCGCTCGGACAATGGCTTGGGCTGTAATGCGCGACGTGCTAATCAGCTGCGTCATCAATCCAAACTCGAGTGTCGTTGAAAAGCGGCTCAAAACCTACCAGGTTTAGGAGGGCGCTGTTGACAACATTCTTTTAAGCACAAGACACGCGCTTTTGCGACAAGAATGCGATACTTGACATGGAGGGAGAAGGCCAGTCCCGATTTGGAAGGAAGAAAAACGACTTAAGACCTTTATGGCAAATTTGCAAGTTGAGTAAATGGTTCCTAGCAACATGCAAAACACTCTAAGGGCTGCTAAAGGTTTTACTAATAAAACCTTGGGTTCCTGATTTGAAAATCTAGGGTGTAACTGGGTTGCACGTACCCTGGTATAAAGGGGTCGGTCACACAAGATGGTGCGGCTACACCTTAACAAAAAGCCACTACGTGACGGGACTACCAGTAGTTACGCATTTTCATTAGGTCATACGATTTAATTAGGAAAACCTATAGATTGAGATATAGGCGGCTCTGCCGCAAAAAAACAAAAGAAATACAGTTTGGATTTCTTACGGAAGAGCATATTCGCCTTAGGTTAATGTTGTGGGTACTCTTGGAGTTAGCGGATTGCGATCTGCTACACCCATACTGGTTCTAGTAGACAACGTAAGGTCGGTGACCTTAGCTTAGCGTCGAGATCAAATTTCACTTATAGTTTTCACCCGTCGTACATAATTTTGGCTGAGTGGTTACAAATGATTTTTTTGCAGAGAGGGTATCGAAGGCGTAATCTTGCAACGGTAGGGCTAGAAGTAATAAGATAGTAAACTATCCCACTATTAATTTTGCAATCTTGGGTAGCTAGTCCCTCTAAGCAAAGAGCTTCGGCAGCCTCGCTGCAAAGGGTGTACTGAGGTCGGATCTAAGCTTGAACTCATACAAGATCTTGGGTGTACGGAGCTTGAACTTCGAAAAGCTTGAATTTTATCCTTCGTGGAAGGTATCCAGTAGAAGTGACTGGCTTACACCACCCACTTCGAAAGACAGCGACGCGTCGGTCTCGTCACCAGTATAGATCCCAAGCAGGATCAGCATTCTGTGCTACAAAGAATGTTTGTGGCTTTATAGAAGATGTCGCGTATGCGTTTGAGAACATCGTTATGTAATCGTCTTTTATAGATTTCCTCAATGCATACAGTGTATGCATTTGGGAATCTGTATCTTTATGTAATAAGTGATGTCCATTTCACGGTGCATGTGCTCAGGCCTGCTGACAGATCTTTATCTGTCATTTGACAGGGGATTGCTGGAAACTGGGGACTCTGGGCAAGTTAAAAAACGCGCGCCGACAGGCTTCAGAACTGCCAAGAGCGATCATAGCAGTATTACGCATCATCCACCCGGATGGATTAGCTCGGTATAACATGGCATGGAAAAGGATGTGGAGAATACTATGCGCATATGCATACTAACGCACTGGATACAGCCACTCGAGTCGTTTTTCAGCATGAATACTAACAACAAAAGGAAGTCGACATGAGATCCGGGCTACTTGACCAAGGCATGTACAAGCAGTCACCACACGCCAAAGAAGGCGACCAGAACGAATGGAAAAGTGGAATAGGGGACGCATCTTCTACTCTACTTATATGAGATGAAGAACACCCAAGAGATGCTTCCACACATCACAAGCTTCGTACGATCTCGGAATCCAGAGGATCCGACATTGATAACCAGGAGCACCGGATCAAACAGACATCGGTAATGACCAAATAATAGAATAGTCTGCCTAAATAAAATCATGATGTAATGTGTATTTCGTACAATCTCACAACTCGTTAAATGGCCAACCTGAAAGAATTACTTCCTCTGTCCGAAAATATAAGCTGGTGTCTATTACTGCGCGTGTCCGAAA